CAAAGTTACAAAGCTTTAGCATACATTTTTTTAAATCCATTATCTGGTTTCCTCAACTGAGAATCATGTTCTGATGAATGTGTTCTTAACATCTCTCCGATGCACTTCATTAAAATACACCTAGCATAGCTGTTGTCTGTTTATTTTTTTAAATCCTTCATTCTGCTGTAGGATCACATCTTTTCTCCTATACACATGCCCTACAAAACTTTGTTGCCTTATTTTGTTAAAAGTGAGTCACTTTAAATAGTCTAATCATGGAAGAAAGAACATGTTTCTAGAATTCGAATGTTGGAGAGAAGAACAAGAATGAAGTAAATAGCTATTTGATGTCTTTCCTTTCACAGTAGCACAATAGCTAATTCCTAGGGCCTCTGACCTTTTAGTGTCCTGTAACAGAGTACTTGCATTAATCTGTTGCTTATCTGTCACCTACTGCATTTGATATATCCAGCCTCTGCTTTCAATTATCAGTCATTAGAGGCAGCACTGAGTAATTTCAGGAGAAAACGCCTGGAACCTTTGACCTGTTTTTGTCAGATAACCACAAGTGTTCACTGTAGATAAACTATCATTTCATTATATTCAAGATGTAAATGAGTGTTGTTTGTAGTGTATCAGCTTGCTGTACCCTTTATCACCTTGAAGTGATTAAAACTGACTGGTTTACTTAGCACTTATACAAAGAATTCAGAGTAAAACAGTGAAATTCAGTGAGATTAGCGTAAATGGCCCCTTATAATTAGACACGGTCTGTAAGACCCTCCATTTTGCCTTGGCATGTATATTTAGTAGTTAAACAGTGACATTAAGTTGATTAGTGAGGCTTCACTATTTGTGAATCCAGTTGGGATCCTGGGATTTTACATTGTAAAATCAGATTATTACAACATATCTTTGGTTTGTTCCCTGGTTTGCCAAAGAAGCTTTCACTTTCCCTATGTGTCACCACATACCAACCTCTTCAGGAAAAGCAAAGCACATGTCAGTGGGAAGCTAATCACTAATGAAGGAGCATGTCTAATAGCCCCTCATGCACTATGACCTAAACTCATTGCTAGCACTTTTTACATTTTTTAAGCTCAGTCAACAGTTACTCAGACATTTATAGGTGAATTGGTAAAATATCAATTACTTATTATACTGTCCATCCATATATGTGCTTTGTATTTTTTTCCAGATGACAAATACTTTTGTTAATGAAAATCAGTGCATAACATCTTCTCTTAGAGTAAGAGATGACTCCTTCTCCAAAATATCATTTTGGTGTAAATTTGTCTTCATTCTTAGAGTTGGGCTTAGTGTTGATACAGTACAAATAGTTCATCAGTTTACCACATGGGTGGAAAATATCATTCTTTCCCACCATACACACAGGTGTTTGTGATATTCCCCTGAGCCATGATTTGTCTCATGTAACCATAGTGCTGAATGTATTAATTTCAGGTGGTATAAAAATAACATTTTAAAAAGTTGATGCTAAGAATCCTAACTGATGAAAGCAAATGAAGAATTTTGTTGCAATCAGCATTGACCCTAATATTCTAGTTACTTTTACTTAGAAAAATTATATTCCTCCAATGGTTAAAAAAGGACTTCCCAATTTTCTGGTCAATCAGTTTTTAGATGCTGTGATTGGTCCCACAGAGATGCATTTTGGCAGATGAACTGAGCAGAGCTGGAGTGACATAAGAACGCTCTGGAAGAACTGAACAGTTTAAAATGTTAACCTGTATTTTTGGGGCTGCCAGTGTTGAAAAGCTCTTGCATAAAAATATTTGAGATATGATGCCCCCCTGCACTTCATGCCATTTCAGCAGGTGAAAGGACCTCAGAGATACCCTGCTGAGCATTCACGATCTTCCCCGATAAGGTATTTATTGGATGCAGAAGGGATCAAGACTTGTGTATTATTTTCAGTATTACAATAGTCAAAATCATTAAATAACATTTCACTTTTATAACTTGGCTGTCATTCTAGCCATTAGTCATTATTGCAACTTCACCATCACTGCTTTTTTTTACAGTCTACTGTATAATGCAAGATATCCTCTAAATTTGTGAAAATTGTTTTTATGTTTTGTACATTCGCCAACAGAAATTTGAAGTTTGAGATTCTGGCTTTGTTGCGGAGAGTAGGACCTCCCTGGACTCACGTTTTTTGGTGGTGTTCAGTGCCTGTTTCCTACAACCCTTCATTTCTGCAGGCTGTTGCTACTCCCAAGTCCTGGCCTGCCTGCAAATGCTGTCTTGACCCAAGGAGATTTTGAACCTGTGTCCCTTTCAGATGGAAGTGATGCCTTTTCCTTGGGTAGACATGGAAACACAGATAAGTACTGTCTGTGTGAGCTGTAATAATTAATTTTGGGCCCATCAGGAAGTGGCTATCAGTATTCTTTCAGCAGTTGTGAGTGGTCCTGAGAGAACCCCACCAATGCTATTGCAGGGTATCGTAGAGGATTCTGTTCAAACTGTAACACATAGGGAGGGAACTGCTGTTTCCAAACTAATGTTACTAATTAGAAGGTACTTGTAAGAAACTGGACAAAAAGAAACCTCAAACCCAAATAAAAACGAAACAGGCCAGGAGTACTGACATTTAAACCTTTTATTGAGCATCTAATTCTCCAATGCTTACTCATAGTGAATAGTGATTAGTTACCTGTGCATACTGGTAAATACTTGTTGAATAAATACTAACCAGAGATATCAGAAAGGGTTGCTACGTTAAGTCTGCCTTTAATATATTTTTCATCTGAAGGTTATTGGCATATCTGTTCCACGTCAGCTTCGAAATGCCCAGTTATAACCTTAGAATCTTGCAGCAGACTCTGCTCTAGAAAAAATCCTCCCCAGGTCAGTGCATTTGCGTATGCTAATCTCTGCCAATTTGTCTCCGAAATGAAAGGCTTTACATGGACATTAAAAAAAAAAAAGGCAAACAACCCCCATACCTCAAGTCAGATCTCTGTATAGATCTCACAGTTTAGAACTGGGCAGTGGAGCTGCTAAATAGACTGTATCCTGTTTCTCTTCAGTAGCAGCCCATTCATCTTCAGGTACAGAGCAGTCAGTTTACATGCTTCTACCTCTTTTCTGCCTTACTTTTTCTACTTGGTGTATGATGGCAAACCCATGTAAGCTAAATACACACTTGAGCCAAGTAAACCTTACAGTTAGCAGACAATTTTCCTTTTGTCAGCCAGGACAGTTTCACTGAAGATAAAGTGGTCTTATAGCCTATATATTTTATTTTGGTGGTTCTTAAGGCAACATAGATTTGCACATTTTAAAAAAATATATGCTAATGAAAACAGGGATAGTTTACATTTTTGAAAGGGTGAAAGGGAAGTACACTGTAAGGGACTAGCTACATGGCCACAGGTGACTTAACTAGTAACTACTGCTCTGAAAATAATGTAAATACTTTTCTTTCGATAGCTGTCACTTCAATATGTCCCTGTACCCTTACACGGCAAGCCCAAACCATATTTTTTCTTCTTTTAGTGCATTTCTGTGCATATACATTCTAATAATGCACATATGCAGGCTTATATATAAATATATATGTGTAGTTATGCACACATACACACACATTGCATACAAAACACATACAAAATTGCTTGGGTGTACACTTATAAATGAAGATATAAGTATAAATATACATATGTATTGTAATAACATACACATTTTATTATTTATACATGCAACAGTTAGTAATCTAAATATGCGCTTTTTCAGAACTGACGTGGCTCCTCCCTCAGTTCTGAGGACTGTTAATACTAAAACGCAATAAAAGAGCAGGGGTTATAGGAGGGAAAATTTAGCGGAGCTAGGTACAGTCATAAATGTTTAGCTGGTTATCCAAACTGAATCCCAGCTCTGAGTGTTTTAGGTTTTGTCTGCCATCAGTAAAACCATGCACCCATCTCATGAGGCAGGTAGAACTTCTCCAGAAGTGAGAAGTTCTCTCTTCTCACAGAGCACAGGTTCTTCACAGGTCAATGATACGTTGCACTGTGTGGCAGTGGGAAACATGGATCATTTTCCATTGCATGTCCGTAAAATCTGAAGTATTAATCCCATAAAATGGTAATCAGCCAGTACTGTGGTCTGTAGGTTCCCTTGCCACATCAAAACATGTATTCCATTGCAAAAGTCACTCCTAACTCCAGGTCAGAACTGCAGCAGACAGTGGAATTAGCCCCAAATCAGTTGTAAACTCAAATAAACTAAAATCCTCTGTTTACTCCCCCTTAAAATTTTGTGCAATCCTGAATTAAGCAATGATGAGGTTCACTTTTTTCTTTAAGTTGTGGCAGTGTCAGAAGCAGTGGGAGCTGCATCTGCCCACCCACAGCAGGTTTGAGGGGACTTCTTAAGCCAGGAGTGTCTCCCTTTGCTGCTGGGGTCCAGAACCACTCAGCTCCTTCTTCTGCCCACTGGCAAGATGACGTTTATGCCATTAGAGTACAACACGTGTTTATTTATATGATGTAACTGCTTCTTAAATATATAGTTGTCACAGTACACTTTAGTACCACTTCAGAATTTATTACGTTAAGTGGAAATGAGCAGCACTCCTCTCATCTGCCTGGTTATTAGTGGTAATTAGTGTTTTCCAGTCATCTGTGGCTCTGACATTACTACTGCTGTGCTTATGACTACACAGAAGTCCTAAATCCTTTTGCAGATTTCAGTTTGTCCATATTTCTAGTTACTTCACAACACGCTCCCTTTCAGCTTTTTTTGATATTCTTTCCACTCCAACTTCTGGAATTTGTATAAAAGCCACCGAGGTTTTTTTCATTTTAACTGAAGACACTGGGCTGGTGGAATTTCCTTTAACTGGAAGTGTGTCTGGGCTTGTGGTTTTATTATTTGCACAGTTTTATATTGTCCTGTTTGTTTACTCCCAAGCACAGGGAATGCTCCATTAATCATGGGAAATGAGCATTCATGTCACCTCTTTAATTTACATTCAACTCTTTTTCTCACAGTTGAAAGGGACAAGGACTTCTCCCACCAGCGAAGGCACTACAAAGAGTTTCGCTTTGACCTTACTCAGATCCCGCATGGAGAGGCAGTGACAGCAGCCGAATTCCGGATATACAAAGATCGAAGCAACAGCCGCTTTGAGAATGAAACCATTCAGATTAGCATATATCAGATCATCAAGGAGTATCCAAACAGGTACCCTGTTGGCATGAACATATCACACGTTGAATAATGTCTCATGTTTCTATCTTAAGTAGGGAGACAATAACTGATCGTAAGCGTACCCTTGGCAAGGCATCGTTGCTATCACTGTGGCTTATGCAATATTAATTCCTAGGCAAAGACAACAAATACTGAGCAGGAATAAAACTTCTCTTCAACGTAATTTGTTCCAGGTTTATGCAGAGTTACATGTCCAATCTCACCAAATAATCTGCCCGTGCACAGAGAGGGTGAGGGTTCGTGTTCTCAGGGAGCAAATGGTGGAGTTGTATGCACAGTCTAAGTGTCTGGATTTGGGAAACGCACTGTTTGCTGACACTGAGGTACTACAAGCCAAGATTCACTTAGCTCCTTAAAGGCAGATAGATTGTTCCTTTGCTTTGAAGGGGCTTGGCTTTTTTGCATGTACTTTAATATTTTGCAGAATTTAATTAAAAGATAGAGTCACGCACTAACTTTAAGATGACAAATGCACACTTAACAAATGCTGCTCACCAAAACCGAAAATTAAAACAAATCATAGAATCATAGAATCATTTAGGTTGGAAAAGACCTTTAAGATCATTGAGTCCAGCTGTAAACCTCACACTGTCAATTCCACCACTAAATCCTGTCCCTAAGTGCCACATATGACGTTACACATGAGCAAATCTCTGAACCTGAGTTTGCAGAGCTTTGTGTGTGACATACTTCCAAGACTCTACAAGACCTGAGTAAATGACCAGATTTCACCAAGCAAAGTAGTCAAATACCTGAAAATTCCCATTGAAAACTAGTAGCAATTCCAAGATGCTTCTGAAAAAAGCTACATACATGCAAAAATTGGGTTTTGAAATTAAATTAGCTTATGTCTTTTCTCAGAAAAGTGTGGGGGGGGGGAAGGTTTTTTTTGAGATAAACAAAAACTCTCCCTCGTCTTGGAACAGATAGAACATTTCTATCCCGGGCATGTTTAGCAAAAGCAAAGAAAATGGCAACCTAAACTTGCAGAGTATTCTGGAGGAAAAAAATGCCCCATCACCAGTTAGCTCGAAGGTTGGGCCAGAGTTCAAATCTCTTTTCTGCCCACAGAAGCTTGAGCTTGTACCTTCCAGGTGAGATCTCTGAATGTCAAGTTATAAAATATTTATGGCTATAACCAGGGAGTCATGTAAATGGAGCAGAATCAACAGGAGGGAAAGAACTCATCCTTCCAGAATACCTTCTGCTTTCTTAGTAAATTTGGGGATGAACAAAACAGTGTGGGATTTTTTTTACCTCTGTCTTCAGCTTGCAAAAATTCTTTTGACGTAGGTTCTAAAAGAAACTTCTTGGACAAAGAAATGAAACAGGAAGGAACAAAACATATCTTTTTAAAGAGCACAGGCAGGCCAAGGCTAGGGTAATGAAAGCTCTTCACCTGAAAACTCAACAGATTTTTTTTTTTGAAGAGCTAATGGGAAAAGTTAGTTTTTCTAATCCATTTGATGTTTTCTTTTTGTGTTTGTTTTGGTTTTTTTTTAATGTTTTCTCAGTAGGTGGTTTCTATTCTATTTTAAAGAAAGCAAAACTGCTTACTATTCTGAAGCAAGATGACAATTTAATATTATTTGACTTCTTAAAATGACAACTGTCTCTGTGAAGCCATTGAAGAATGCTCTTGATTTCTTTCAATACATAAACATAAATTTATAAACATTTTAGATTTGCATTTATAAACATAAAAACCCCATGTCCTTTAATGGAAGCATGATGCTGGAAAGGGGGACATGCAACGATACGCCACCTATTTGATTTCACCAGTATAGCTACGGAAACTTCAGGTGTAGGCTAAATGTTTCCCTCCTATTGGTGATTTTGCCACTCTCTGCTCATATATGGAGTATATAGAGGAAAATATATATGGAGTATATATCTTGATACCTCCAGACAGAAGAACTACCAAGAATAATTTATCTTTTTTTTTTTTTTTTTTTTTTTCCCAAAAAACCCACAGCTTTTGCTTTGGGGCCCAGAATTCATTAGCGTTATCCTTGACTTTGTCACCTCAGGTTTGTCCTACATATGTACGTGAGATTTTAGATGCAAAATTTTCAGAAGCCGCAACTGCAGAATGTGAGGGTGAGAGAACTGTGAGGGTGGTGAGACGCTGGAACAGGTTCGCCCAGAGAGGTTGTGGATGCCCCATCCCTGAAGCGTTCAAGGCCAGGCTGGATGGGGCTTGGAGCAACCTGGTCTGGTGGAAGGTGTCCCTGACCATAGAGATGATCTTTAAGGTCCCTTCCAACCCAACCCATTCTAGGATTCTATAATGTCTCACACTTCTTACTAGTGCCATACCACAGAAAACCTGCTGGGTTTGACCCTGCTTCTCCACCCTTCTTTGCTTTGAACAGGAACCATGGGTGTCTGACAAGGCTCTGCAATGCAATCCCAAACGCAGTCCTGCTGCGCTTTCAGGCAAGGAGGGGTCAGGGTTTAGGGTTCCTGAGTTGCAGCCTAAGGATTATGTTGTAGTCTCAGACATTTTTCTGTCTCTGTGGCAACATGGCCGCTGAAGCGTGTGTGTATTATAGTCGCTCAGAGTTTGCTGAAATTACAGTCTTTGGGATTGAAGATTTCTATTTGTTCTAAGGAAACGTGTGAAGCACAGCCCGTGGCAAGGCAAACTTTCCTACGCAGCCCTGCCAATGTACTCCTACCCGGATCTTTTCTCATGACAAAAGTTATGTAGTCCAACAGGCCAAATCCTCGTTCATGATCTGGTGGCGGCTAGCCACTAATTTAACTAAACCCCAAGGATTTTTCCCGCATTAGGGAATCCTCAAGTGACATTAAGATACTAAAGCAGCTTTCTGGAATGAGGCAAGAGGTGAAGCAGCTTTATGGGGATGGCCTATTACATAGTAATCATGATTTGATCCGGTTGAAAACTTTGCTGGGTTTCAAGGAACATATAGATTCCACCTTTACTTCCTTAAGTGACCCAGGAGATGCAGAGCTTCTTAGACGTTCTGCCCGCAGCTTCTTTGCTGAAATTCTTGACTGTGGTAGCATTTCTGCTGTAGACAACTGGCTGTTTGTGACAAGACTGAGATCACTAAACTTAAACAGCCTCCATAAAGGTGAAGCCAATCAGCTGTATTCTGCCTGAATGTGTTCACTGTTGCATTTCAGGCTATTTACGACATAATGCCTTACTTTTTTATTATGTGTTGTGGGCTATTTTTTAAATAGAAATATTTTTAAAAATCAGAGCCAAAATTTGCAGCTGTTTTTCATTTTAAGTGTGATCGTTTTTTTCTTTCCACAGAATAGGGGAGAATTTTAAAATTAAAAATGTCACAAAATGTGATGAGAAGTTTGAGTGAATGACACCAGCTAATGGGGGAATCCTGATCCCAGAGCTCTCACTGCCTTCTCAGGGGTCAGGTTTTCACCCTATGTTTCTATCAATTGTGAAAAAAGTTGGGTTTTTTTCCTGACAAATACTTTGAATTTCTGTAGTAAATTGCTGTTATGTGGGCTAAATCATTAACATTGGTCTGGAGGTATTTTCTCTATTCTACCACGTGTTCTCAGGAATCAGTTCTAATTTTCTCTAGGTACCCACAACTAATTTTTGGTTCATTTGCTGAGTTAAGGGGTAAGAACAATTGGCCTTTTTGAGTCTATTACATTAGCCAGATCACTATACTTGTAGGAAGGTAGACAAGAAGATTGACATACCAATGCCAAAGACACTTTGGTGTGAGTTTCTGCTGCAGTACAAAATAATAAAGTCACATTGAGGAGAGATCCACCGGGGAAATTTGTCCTTTATGGGGATTTCTGGACTGTATCATTAGTAGGGCCCTACTCTGGTTTGGCATATGAGCCATTGTGCATCCTGACTTTTGAGAACATTTCGTATCAGTCCCAGCAAAATCTGGAGCTGAAAGAATCTATATGGGAAAACAATTACAGATTCTATGAGGAGACAAGACAAATGTGAAATTATAGCACTGTGATACCGTAATATTTTAACAATTTTCTGTTAATTCTACTGAATGATCCAAGAAATATTTAAAAATAAACACCTTAAAGACTGTCGCACTCAGAATTAAACCTTTCAGCTTTAAAGTTCCAATAAAACTGATTATTAGAGAAAAAAATTGGCATTAAGATGCTAGAGAGTACTATTTATGAGCTTGTGGTACTTTGTCAATTTGTTTAGTGCTAGCATAGCAGGTCAGGCTCTTTTGAATTGTAAGACTGTTTTCATGTTCGCTCCAGAAGAAGAATGTATGTTTTCTCCTTGTGTGGTCATTAGCACAGATCTATTAGAATGGAAGTGATAAGACCGGAGCAAAAGATTATCCTTTTACAGAAGGAAAAAAAGGTGACTTGAAAGAAAGCCCTTTCGATTTTCTTCTTTTTTAAAAACAAAACTCCTTTATCATTTCTGAGCTCTTTAACCTGATTCTGCAGATATTTCTTACATGTAAGTAAACATATGCTTGTCATAGCTCATTTGGTCTTATTTTCCTGAGTGTTGAACAACCACAGTTTCAAGAGCTACACAAGATGTTTTTTTCAGTATCAGACCTAGATGCATTTACAGTGTTTAGGCTAGATAAGACAGTAACTGCCTACGATGTTGTTGTGAGTAAGCAACATAAAAATACAGTGACAGGACCATCGTAATTTTAAATCCTCTTTTTATACACAAGGCCTATTATTTCTGTCTGTCTTACCTCTTTAAGCATACATTCATGCTATCTGTGAGGTAACAATATGATTCCAAGGTCTGTGTAAGCCAAGTCTGTCTTTATTTGACTTGGACAGTCACAGTTGAGAATAAAATATTTTTTCTTGTATATTATTGTTTTGATTACTAGTTGTGGCAGAAAAGAAACAGGTTTCTATAACTATAGATTTAAAAAGCTAAATGGTGAAAACAGTTTTTAATACTGCATGCTGCTTTGTAGAAGAATGTAAAACAAAGCTGATGAGTTAAATTTCTTGGGTTTAGTGTGGTCATTGTAGTAATTTATTTGTAATGCAGATGTGGTTCTGGAACCAATTGTGTCAGGAGATATGTGAAAACAGAATAAATAAACGATCCATGCTAAACATTTAGTAACACGATTATACTAACTCCCCTGAGCAGCCCTTCTGAATTACTGGAAGATTTCATGGGAACAAATTTGAGAATATACCAGGGAACTGAGGGTTAAAATGTAACAATTACATTATTGAATAGATACTTTGATATAAAGACTTATTTTCATATTAATATGAAACTGTCTGAACCGTCATCTATTCATGTTTTGTCATATGATATAGCTGCTGTCATATGTTATTAATAACAGATTTTTTTAGCAACGCTATGCCTTTGAATTTTAGTTGAAATTGGAATGTGATTTTGACATTTTTTGTCTTTTACACTGAGTGGTTTATAAAAGTTAATTTTCCTGAGACATTCTAGTGCTGAAAGATGAATCCTTTATACACAGCCTCAATTATATATTTTGTGTATTTATATCAGGAAGCTGGATTTTTCAGATTTTCCAGAGCTGTAGGTTTTACATGCTGAGACTCATTTCAGAAAGGCCTCTCAGGGGAAATACCTGTATTATACTTAACAATTACGTTAGCTACAGCACATGCTGTACTGTGTCGTGATGAGGATATGTCAAAGGATTATTCATTTGGACTCCAGGAAGTTATTGTCAGCAAGGAAATTAAGGACGAAAAATAATAATATTTGAATGCCTTAACTCTCTATTTTCTTTAACTTAGAGATGCAGACTTGTTCCTGTTAGACACAAGAAAGGCTCAAGCTTCTGATGTGGGCTGGTTTGTGTTTGACATTACTGTGACCAGCAATCACTGGGTGATTAATCCACAGAACAATCTGGGCTTGCAACTCTGCGCTGAAACCGGGGACGGTAAGATCATAACTGTAGATTGTAACGCCGTATATGCTCTTGTCGTCTCTTGCTAGGAATGTTTTTTGGACGGGTGTTTTTTAACTTGACTGGGTGACAGTTCACTGAGAGTTTATAAGCAAAGAACAAAAGCCTTATCCTGCCATAGCTGTAGTCTGCAAACTTTCTATTGTTCTTAATTCTGTAGAATATGGCAATTATAAAGCTAACTGAATTAAGTTAAATTAAATGAAGTTTGGGATAAAAGCTCCCGTATACAAAATGAAGTTATATTTTAATATTCTTCCACTGATGATTACATTCAGGAAACTCAAGTAGATTTGTGGAATTTTTGTTTTAGAAAGTTTCTGAAGAACTTTCTGGGCTGAAGCCTGGAGAAGGGTATAGAAATACCTCAGGACAGTTCAGGAAGTATCGTATAGCCGCTGATACTGATGCTGGAGAAGGATTAACAATAGGGTAATGTGAGAATTTACTTTCTATCATTTGAACAAAAATTAATTTCAAAACTTTTTATCTTGAAATGGGTTAAAAGTTTGAAATCTTGAAAATTTTAATTAGGTGAAAATTAGAAAGAACCCTATAAAAACTGAAGTCAGAGCTGTGGGGTTTTTAGTACAAATTTACTGGGCTACTACATTATTCACAGTTATGCTCTTCATTAAAAAGTGAAAATGCATCTCAATGCAAAAGAATATTTTTAGAAGAAATGTTCTTTACTTAGACTTCTTTAGAAACTAATAAAAAGAGACTTATATACTGTTTTTTCTGCGATGGTTCACTTAATCCATTCTACTTTACAAGCAAACTTTCAGATTTAGCGCTTTCTTGTCAAAAAGCTTTTTATGTCAGAGGTCAAGGGATCTATGATGCCAGTTAATCTAAACCTTAGCTGACATAATGTTAATGAGTAGCAGAAGAAATCCTGGTGTAAGGATTAATATTTTTTTTCTTCTTTCTTTGTTCTGGCTACATTTTCTCATTGGTTTTGATCTGAATTCTCCCTCAGGCTCAGCTGGGCTGTGAACAAAGCCTCTCATACTTTTTCAGCAAGTGCTCTGGCTGCTGGAGAGTTATGCAAAAACCGTCCTCCTTTAGGCATGATGCTTAAAAAACAGATTTGGCAGGCTTGAACCAGAGCAGGCGACCATTTCGCCTAATATTGCCTATACGGTCGGACTACAGTCAGTGGAAAAGGGAGGCAGCGATGCAAAGTAGAACACGTCGTTGCTGTGTTCATCCAGCCTTCAAAGGCACCACACCTGAGCTCGGGCTGTATGGGGAGCGTTTCTCAGGCAGCCTGGTTTTGTGAGGCCATTTTGAAGCCTGTAAAATTCTGGAGAGGTGACACCTCCGTCAGGCATCCAAATTAGGTGGGCTGGCTTCCAGCCAGCTTTTCTGCTCCAGAATAAACTCCATCCTTGACTTTTTTTTTTTTTTCCCCCCAGGACATTCAAATACAGAAATTCTTGAAAATTAAATATCCATGAAAGGGATTCATTAAGAAACCCTGGAACCAGCAATTTGTCGGTTCTAGCCTCAGAATTATATCCATTCAGTAAACAGCAGGAAAGTTTGTATGGGTAAAAGGAAACCTTTAGGTTAATACAATGAAGAAATTGTAAAAGAATAGTTTATGTAAATATTTTCCCTGTCCTAATCCCAAGATCAGGAAGGTGATAGATAATTTTCTATTTTAAATTCCAAAGCCACAAGAAGCTTTACCTTCTGCACCTCACTTATTTGAATTTCTCAACGCAGCTGCTTGAGTGAGGAGGGAATTCCCCTCTTCCCTCACTTTCTGTTCCCTTTTCAGTTTATTCATGCAAGAAGAGTGCCATTCTAGGGACTAAAGTTTTCAAAACTATAGGGAAGACCTGTGCTATACCACTTCAGCTTACCATAAGGAAAATCATCCTTTCGTGCTCTTACAATTTTGCTCTTAAGGCTTTGATTATTTTTATTTGGTTGCTGTTACTTCTGGAAGCTATTAGAAACACCAGCAGTTGAATGACACGTTTGTGTACAGATGGAACATGAATTTTTATACATGACTCAGTATGTAGTGGACTCAGTTCGTAACCCAGAGAACCCCACCCACCTTCCTTCCAACCAGTTTTCTATAAAAGCTCAGACACTGGTTCAAATCAACTGAAAACCCTTCCCTTGGCTCAAGTGAACTTAGGCCATCCAGGTCTGAAGCATGTTTCTTCATGCCTCCAGCTGTCCATTGAGTTTTTGGGAGGTAAAGGAGTTCTGCCCCCGTAACCTTATCATAAGACCTGATCCATTAACCTTTCTATTGCAACAGACCAGTAAACTAAATGGGATTCTGTTAAGTCAGAGGATCCCTGTTTGAGGTATCCATGTGCTGCACTGGGGCCATGGATAATCAAGTCTGTAAATGCATACTAATTTTTAGATTTATTCATACAGCACCTTTAAAATGGGGTGCCAATAATTACTGAGACTCCGGGGTGCTACTATGTTGTTATTACCATTAACAGTAATCTTTCTTACAGCTGACTCTCAGTGACTTTTTAGGCGATTACTTGTGTAGGTATATTCCTTTGGTGATCCCTGAAGATGGTGCATAAATAATAATAATGTATACATAAGGAATAAAAAAATTTGTAACTATTTAATATAACAGTGTGATAAAAACAACTTTGGAAGAATGTCTGGTTGTTGTAATTCAGATTTTTCCCCCTTTGAAAATGCTGAAAAAGTACAAAAAGCCACATGACATTGGAATGTGTTTTCTTTTTTTCTTTAAGACAGTATTTGGTATCATACGTCTCATTTTAGCATGAAATGTAGACTTTTTCTCTTAATGGGACATTTTATTTTGAACAGTAAGAATAAGGGTTTGCATGACACATATGGAAGCTGTCAACATATAATGCACTGTTTCCCTGGGGCTGTGATAAATTAAGGATCAGGTTTTTTTGATTCTCTTTTTTAATGTCTCCTCAACATTCTGCAGCATCCCCTTTTGGCCGATTCCCTCCTTTTGACACCAAAACTCTCCATGGTGTTTAGAATGAGAGGTGATCATTTTCACACTGATGGAAGTGCGGGTGCTAGATGAATTGCAGCATAAAATCAATGCAGATGCAGAAACAATTCAAAAAGCTCTATGCGACACTTTTCCTGTATATATATCATATGTCTCCTAAGACTTAAACCAGGTTCCAGTGAATCAGCACCTTTGTATTACATTTAACATTTTTATAATTGGAAATCAGCAACAGTTTGAACATCTTTTTGCTGGAGGAGTATAAATGGCTGCAAGAGTACTCCTTTCGCTGTATATGTCATTGCTGAAGAGAACCTAGTGGTGTCTACAGAAAATGAGAGAGGGAGATAATGTGTAACCATGACTATTTGTGATCCACAGAATGAACCAAGTTCCAAATACACAGCTCTCAATGCAACAGCCTGGGTAGCCCCCACAGCTGTGTTGTTCTGTGCCTTAGATTACTGCAGCTCTCAGTTATTTTCCATCCACCTGCACATCAGAGGGGAAGAAACTGGTGGTAACTCTGAAAAGCCTAAGCTGATTAAGGTGATTGCTGTTACCACGTTGTCCTATGGAAGGTTTCTTCTGGCTTTCCTGCTGTTTGAGGTGGGCAGGCAGCAGGACTTCTCAGCTCCCCAACTCTGACTCTTACTTCAGCGCTTTTTTTTTCTCAGAGCAAACGGAAACTTGAAAGAAATAGGTTCCTTGATCGAAGTGAAGCATGGGGAAGGCCATTTCTCTCTCCAGCACATATTTGGGTACACTCTGGCGTGTGTCCCCTGAAGGGGGTTTGGCTCCTAATCCTATGTGCTGCAGGAAGGATTGGTGAGGTCCTTCTCCAGCGATGATGGGGGAGATATTAAGAGGCACACACTCTCTCTTATTTAGCCTCTTCTCCTTTCAGCCTGGGCCTTCCAAGGTCCCTTTCTCCTACAAAGCCTTCAGAGAGGCAGCATGGACACATTCTCTATGTTGCAGAGGGTGGCTGGCTTGCTTTCAACCGGTAGCAACCTGTGGCAGCACTCTTCAGGTAGTTGGCTGCATACTTTATGTTGGCCTTGCCCTTACCTTTACAACACTAAATGTTATCAAATCTCATCCTGAGGTTTCCCCCAGTCAACCTTGGCACCTAACTTACGTGATCCCGGTAGCCATCAGGTGCTCTGGAGGATGCTGCTGGGTTGTTACATTTAAGTCTCTCAGTGGATCTAGTACAAGGCAAAGTATCAGGAGTGAGTTCACCTTCATTAGTGTCCTTACAGTGGGGGAATTTAGGATATATATATTTATATTGATATATATATGGACTTTGGCAGGCAATAGCTCTGCCTAAATTCTGAGCCATCTGGAAGCCATATAGCCATGTTAGCACAGCACTGAACCCAAGCTAATATATCCTGCCCCTCAGCAGGTTTTATTAGCTTGGGCTCAAGCACTGCCTAAGTACAGCTACATGAGTTCTGGTTCAGAGCTGACTTTGGCCAAAGTTACACTAGTAAATTAAACATGCTCAGGAATACTGTGGTGTGAAAAGAGCCGGAGGGATGGCTCTCTCGGTCTCCAAAACAGGGTAACTCCATGGCAGCTGCCCCCCCGGGAGAGGTCCCTGCAGCACCACCTTGGGATGCTGGGGAATCCGTGGTGGTGCTGGCATAGGACGTAAAGGTACCAGGAGCACCCTCCCAGCCTGAGGAGAGCGGATGATCCAGCTCCAGTGCCTGGGAGCACTCCTAGGCACTCTTTAATTTACTCAGATAGGTGTAACCCCTGTTTCCAGCTGGGTCAGAAATACAGTCAGCATTTTCTTGTGTCTGCTTGTAGGAAGCAATGTGAATACACCCTTTGTTAGTAAGAGCACGCAGGAGGGTCAGGGAAGTGAGATGGGCTCCTGCCCCTTCTCCTGCCACCACTGCATACTGGTGCATACTGGTCCTGTCTGTACTCCCCCAGTGTGCAACTCCCCCTATTCTTTGTTGGA